AGCTTTCTGATCAGTTGGAATTATGTTCTAAAGTGCTTCCATTGTGGAGATATGAGGTAAAATGTTTTCAAAAGTGCCATGTTTTTTTTTGTTTTTTGCATTTTTCTACATGAAAAGAACACTAAACAACATAATTTCAACAGATTTAGAAAGCTAAGAGAAGGGGCTACAACTATTGTATCGTGGGAAATTTCACCCAAAAAGGAAGGTACATGCCCTAAAAGGGTAATTGACACTGACAGACTACAAAAGATTGCTCATATACTACAAAAGTCAGTTATAGCCTACAAAGTTTACTTATAGACAACAAAAAAGACTACAAAAGTCAGACATAGACCACAAAGGTCAGACAAAGACTACAAAAATTAGTAGTGTCTGCTTTTCTCATTACAAAAGTAATAGTGTCCGCTTTTTGAGATTACAATGGTTTGTAGTGTCTGTTTTTTCAGACTACAAAAGTTAGTAGTGTCTGTTTTTTTCAGACTACAATGGTTTGTAGTGTCCGCTTTTTTCATTACAAAAGTTAATAGTGTCCGCTTTTTGAGACTACAAAAGTTAGTAGTGTCTGTTTTTTCAGACTACAATGGTTTGTAGTGTCCGCTTTTTTCATTACAAAAGGTAATAGTGTCCGCTTTTTTCATTACAAATGTTAATTGTGTCTGCTTTTTGAGACTACAATAGTTTATAGTGTCCGCTTTTTTCATTACAAATGTTAATAGTGTCCGCTTTTCTGACATATAGTTTGTAGTGTGGTTGACTATGTATGTATAGGTCATTGGGGATATGGTTGAAGGATTGGGATGAGTTGACATTCTGCCACTCATGAATAGTTGCTTTTGATGTCAGGTCCATGGCTGTTTTTCATACTTGCAATATGTCCTGTCTTTTCACATGAGAAGCCACTATCCTATCTTTGATGTTGGTCAACCTTCCACTGAGATCAGTATCTGCTGTCCTATGTCTGACCACAGTCAATCTTCACATGATTTTTTGGAGGGATAAATTCTCTGTCCTACCAGAGCAACTTGTCATGTCTTTCAATACCAGGACCAGTTGTCATTGTCCAAGCCTTCACCACTGGGGTCAGCCTTGAGTAGATTGATTTAAAGGTATCAAAAGTGAAGTATATAGGTGGTTTGGTCCTCTCTGCTTCTCAATGTCTATCCAGGATTCATGTGAAACACACCCTTTGATTAGATAGGATAGTGACTTCTCATGTGAAAAGACAGGACATATTGCATACAACTTTTGTTTTTTTCCCATTTTTGGAAATTGGTCATGTGACCACCCTCCCAATGCGGACCATAATAGCTATTTTATTGCTATCATGGAATATAATGAAAAATCATAATGATAGCCCTGGGGGTAGATATGAAATTGGAATGAAATATTGAGAGATACTCAATGAAAAATCCCAATGAAAGCTGTGGAATATTCAATGAAAGTGCACAAGAAGCAATGGATACATATAACCTAGCCAATGAAATATTTATTGAAATGCACAATGAAAGCACACAGCATTAATTAATGAAAGGGGAATGAAAATCGTTGAAATTCCTAATGAAAGAGGCAATGAATACACCTGACCTAGGGAATGAAATATTTATTGAAATCACACAACATTAATTATGAAAAGTACAATGAAAGCATCCAATATTCCTAATGAAATATTCAATGAAAGCGCACACCATTAATTAATGAAAGGNGAATGAAAATCGTTGAAATTCCTAATGAAAGAGGCAATGAATACACCTGACCTAGGGAATGAAATATTTATTGAAAGCATCCAATATTCCTAAATGAATATTCAATGAAAGCACACACCATTAAATATGATAGAGGCAATGAATACACCTGACATAGTCAATGAAATATTTATTGAAATACACTGGATTGATTATGAAAAAGCAATGAAAGCGCCGAAATTTCTAATGAAATATCAATGAAAGTGCACACCATTAATTATGAAAAAGGCAATGAATACACCTGACCCAGTGAATGAATACCTATTGAAAGCACACAGGTTTAATTATGAAAAGTACAATGAAAGAACTGAACAGCTTCAATGAAATATTCATAGAAAGCACATGATAATAATTATGAAAGCTTTTATGAAAGGTCCTAAGAAATGTTATGAAAGGATCCTGTGGTCTTTGCCTACATTTATAGCCTTTATGAGAAAGAAAGACACAGGACACACCTATGAAAGGCCTTTCATAAAACTTGTGGACTTATACACACAGCTCTACAGGCAAGTGCCTTGGTTTTATCATAAAGGTGGTAGCCACTTGTGCTGTCTTATGACTGCGCGCATACCATTTCTCAAAGTTTCCCTCCCCCACACCTGCGTTTCCTCATCTCGGAAAAGTCGAGTTAGATGATGACGAGGCGTCCGATATCCTTTGTCTGGTCTTTCCGCGCTACTTGCGCCAGAAGCAGGGCTGCGCGCTTCTCGTTGGGCCATTTGCCACGTTACACGTACTTAACGCTGACACCTGAGTTGATCGATGTGTCGCTTTCTTCCTATAGTAAGAGGCTCTCACCTATCGACCCAACGCCCATCAATGTCGCCATCGCTGGAAGGCGAAAGGTCGACGGCGGATTTGAGGAGATGGCGAAGGTCATGATGCGACCTTGCGGTCTTTGGTGAAGAAGTTGGTGCTGGAGAAGAGACGGCTGGAGGAGAGCGGGAGCCATTGACGCTTGAGCCTCGCATTAGGTGGTGCGTTTGATTCCCATACAACGCAAGTAACAAACTTCCTCTACAGAATCACTTTTTTTACTGTATGTTGAAAAAGGTTTTGCTACAGGGATACTCTTTTTGGAGCTGGACTACGTACACCGTGCGACATCCAAGAGCTGGAGTGAGGGGGAGCTGCAAGAGTTACAGATGCCTGCAAACGTCACGTGCAAAGTTAGGCCAAATCGACTGGCCTTGAGGTCCTTTGTCTTGTGTCCTACTCCCAATACTTCTGTCAAGCCATGAATTCACCTCATTGACAACAATCCTTTAGATTCCATAAACCTCTTGACGGTGGCGTGTGGAAGACTCAGGAAGTCGTAACACGGTACAACATTCCCGAACCTGAGGTGGCAGAACCAGCCACTGTCTATAATACAGTGATCTACTCTCCTCTCAGGGCATCTGTAGAGGTCTTATCAGTGCCCCCCCTATTCCTGCAGGAATCCGGTCATTCCGGTGGAATTCCGGTGGAATGGAATTTAGCAGAAGGCCCTGCTAAATTGTTTATTCCGGTGTGTTCCATTCCAGTGGAATTCCGGTGGATTCCGGAATGTACACCGGAATGTTCCCCGGAATGGGCAGGAATAGCATTCCCCGGAATGGGCAGGAATTGCAATCTAGTTATTTTATTGTTTTGTTATGTATTATAGTTTGTTTATTTCCGATGGATAACAAATAATATCTGTTTGGCCATCATGCTCACCAAACACGACCACCCTCTTCCTCCCACCACCACCATGCTCGTCACCGCCGCCAAACAAGTCCGTCACCACCACCGCTCACCGTGACCACCACGATCCCTGTCGCTCGACGCCATCCGCATCCGTCGCCCACGCCCACCACAATCCACCACGTCCACATCACCAAGCGCCACGTCACCAACTGCACACGATGAACGCGACATGAGGGGGGGGGGAGGGAGTTCCCATTGCCACGCAACGTGGCAACTAGATGACGAACGACGTTGTTCGTTCGTCGTCGTCGCTTTCTAGTAAGTCAATTCCCCCCATCCCATCCCATTTTGAATGACACACACCACCATTCCCCCCAGATGACAACCCTAGCACCCGAAGACGAACACGAGCACCCACGAGGCTTCACCGCCCATAAATTACTACACGACGCCCACAAATGAGAACCCCACGCCCACAAACAACACCCATCGCTCACCCAGTGCCAAATGCCCACGAAACGGCGCCGACCGCCCACCGCTCACGACGACAACGCCCACAGCCCACCCAACAACCACCGTAAATGAATGCCCACCGCCCATAACGCCCACCGCCCATCGCAAATGCCCATCGCCCATCGCAAATGCCCATCGCAAACGCCCACCGCCCATCGCAAACGCCCACCGCCCATCGCAGACGCCCACCGCCCATCAACAACGCCCACCGCCGCCCATCGCAAACGCCCATCGCAGACGCCCACCACCCATCAACAACGCCCACCGCCGCCCATCGCAAACGCCCACCGCCGCCCATCGCAGACGCCCACCGCCCATCGCAAACGCCCATCGCAGAC